TTTTTGAGACAGTCTTGCTCTGTTGCCAGGCTGGAGTGCAGTGGCACAATCTCGACTCACCACAACCTCCACCTCCTGGGTTCAAGTGATTCTCCTGCCTCAGCCTCCTGAGTAGCTGGAACTACAGGCACGTGCCACCATGCCCAGCTAATTTTATATTTTAGAAAGACAGGGTTTCACCATGTTGTCCAGGATGGTGTTGCTCTCTTGACATCGTGATCCACCCACCTCAGCCTCCCAAAGTGCTGGGATTAAAGGAGTGAGCCACGATGCCCGGCTAACCTAGTCTTAAAACAGCAAGGGGCTCTAGAGCTAACAAAATTTAAGTTTCGACTTCTTTTGGGGTTGTGGGTGTGGGAGCAGAATCTTGTTCTGTCATCCAGGCTGGAGTGCAGTGGCACAACCTCGACTCACTGCAACCTCTGCCTCTGGGTTCAAGCAATTCTGCTGCCTCACCCTCCCGAGTAGCTGGGACTACAGGCACACACCACCAAGCCCAGCTTATTTCTTTTTCTTTTTGAGACGGAGTTTCACTTTTTTGCCTAGGTTGGAGTGAAGTGGCACAATCTCAGCTCACTGCAACCTACTCCTCCACCCCCCCTCCCCTGCAGTTTAATGATTGTCCTGCCTCAGCCTCCCTAGTACCAGGGATTGCAGGCACCCACCACCATGCCCAGCTAATTTTAATATTTTTGGTAGAGACAGGGTTTTTCCATGTTGGCCAGGCTGGTCTCCAACTCTTGACCTCAGGTGATCTACCTGCCTTAGACTCCCAAAGTGCTAGGATTACAGGTGTGAGCCCCCATACCCACACTGTATTCTCAATCTTTTATCAATGATATGTTTAGCATTTTAACTTATTTTTATCCTCTATTGGATTTTTGTGTAAGAAGTATAATTTCGGCCAGGCACAGTGGCTCACACCTGTAATCCCAGCACTTTGGGAGGCCGAGACAATGGACAGATCACCTGAGGTCAAGAGTTCGAGACCACCCTGACCGACATAGAGAAACCCCTCTATTAAAAATACAAAATTAGCCGGGGCCAGACATGGTGGCTCACACCTGTAATCCCAGCACTTTGGGAGGCCAAGGCAGGCAGATCACAAGGACAAGAGATCAAGACCATCCTGGCCAATATGGTAAAACCCCGTCTCTACTAAAAATACAAAAATTAACCAGGCATGGTGGCAGGCACCTGTAGTCCCAGCTACTCAGGAGGATGAGGCAGGAGAATTGCTTGAACCCAGGGGCAGAGGCTGCAGTGAATGGAGATCGCACCACTGCACTCCAGCCTGGTGACACAGCAAGACTCCATCTAATAAAATAATAATAATAATTAGCCGGGCATGGTGTTATGTGCCTATAATCCCAGCTACTTGGGAGGCTGAGGCAGGAGAATCACTTGAACTGGGAGATGGAGGTTGCGGTGAGCCAAGATCGCACCATTGCACTTCAGCCTGGGCAAAAAAAAAAAAAAAAAAAAAAAAAAAAAAAAAAAAAAGAAAGAAAGAAAGAGAAAAAAAAAAGAAAGAAAGAGAAAAAAAGAGTAAAACTTCTTTCTCCTGTGATGTGTCTTGGGTGTTGAGTTGTCTGATAGTGGTGCTAAATGATTAAATGGTCCAGCTTTCAATTATGCTTATTTATTAGGGGTATATGCCCAGAGAAACCCTAAACACTTTGGCCATGATGGATGCATGCACGTTGGGTGTAACCCCCTTCTTCTTTTCCCTATAGATCCCAGGATGATCAACACATGCTTCCTTTCTGGACAGATCTTTGCTCCGTATTTGGCACAAACAAGGATCTCATCATTCTAGAAGTCAATAATAGCTTTCTTAGTGCCTCGCTGTTAAGGATCCTGTGTGAACAAATAGCTTCTGACACCTGTCATCTCCAGAGAGTGGTGTAAGTAGAAACGAATTCATGAACTAAAATCCTTAGGATGTGAAAGTTTTGCATTTTTAATATTGGAGCAATATTCAAATTCCTGTCCTAGACTCTAAGTGCTCAAGACACAAGGAATTGAGAGAGTCCCACCACCCTTAAATTTGTCTTGTGGGATAATCATATAAAGTAACTTTAGGGGCAGGGCACAGTGGCTCACACCTGTAATCTCAGCACTTTGGGAGGCTGAGGCGGACAGATAACTTGACATCAGGAGTTCAAGACCAGCCTGGCCAACATGGTGAAACCCTGTCTCTACTAAAAA